TAATTCACAGGAGAGTGAGTTCTTCAGAAGGAGCAGGTTGTTACCAAGCAAAGCCACCATGCAGGTGTGACCCTTCACTGCATGGCCTGTTCCCTTTTCATTTCTCTGCCGTGCCATGTGGCAGACAGGGAAACGGTTACCAGGACTCTATGCTCTTTGTGCCCTCCATGAACCAGAATTGTGGTCCGAGTAAACAGCCTTACATTATAAAGTACCCAGCTGTGGGTGTTTTTTGTTTTTGGTACTGGGGATCGAACTCAGGACCTTGCACTTGCCAAGCAGCCGCTTGTGCCACTGAGCTATATCCCTGGCCCATGGGTGTTTTATTAAAGCACTAAAAATGGACTACTAGAATTGCCACAAGTTTTATCTTTTGGTGGATGACATAAGTGCTTTTGTTTTCCTTCCTTTCTTTTCTTTTTATTTTTTTGAACCTAGAGCCCTTGCCCTGAGTTAGATCCCCAGCCCTTTAGGTTTTTTATTTAGAGACAGGATCTCACTACATCTTATGAGCTGCATTTGAGCTTGTGACCCTCCTGGCTCAACCTCCCGGAGTGCTGGGATTACAGGCACGCACCACACCTGGCTCAGCACTTACTTCTGCTCGGTATGTATCTAGAATTGTAGTTCTTAAAGCACTGTGTATACTGAGGTTAGTAGATAGTGTCAGTTTTCTGAAGTGTACCAAATTATAGGGGCTGGGGAGATGGCTCAGTAGAATAAGTGCTTCCCTGGCAAGTGCAAGGGCCTGAGTTCAATCCCGGGTTCTGGAAAAGAAAAAAAAAAAAAAAAAACCACAATGTAAGTGTTCGCTTTCTCTATACTTGCCAACACTTGATATTGTCAAATGTTTAAATTTAGTGATATGGTCACAAAAAGCAATTGTCACAAAATCCCTGTGATGTCTCATTATTGATGTAAAGCTCCAACTTAAAGCCAGAAGACTGAGGGCAGCAAGAGGAAGCCCCTATTCCAGACTACATGAGATGTTAGCAGCAAGTAGGATAACATTTTTACAAATACTTTAAGAAGATCTTTATTTATTTGGTACAGGGTCTTGCTACACAGCTAGATTCATAGTGATCCTTCTGTGTCAGCCTCCCCCGCGCTGGGATTATAGGTGTGCACCACCACATCCAGTTTCAGTGGCCAGCACAGCATGCAGTACCAGGAATCAAACCCAGGTCCTCGCACTTGCCAGGCAGGTGCTTAGATTGTTAACCTGCCTCCCCAGCCCTATGCTAACATTTTTTTCCTTTGATACTGGGAATTGAACCAAAAGCCTTTGCGCTGAATTGCACACCCAGCCCCTTTTTTATTTTTAAATTGCCCAGACTGGGTTCAAATTTACACTCCTTCTGCCTCAGCCTCCCAGAGTGTTGGGATTATGGGAATGTGCATCATGCCCAGCCTGTTTGAAATTTTAAAGTCAGAATACGCAGCCTTGAGTGTACCAAAATGGTAGCTTTCTTCACTACTTTTCACAGCACTTAGTCTGGTCACTGTGTGGCGAATTCAGTGAAGTCAGTGTAGGGTCGATCACTGGAGGGGTGCAGCCAGTCAGGTCCCCCAGGCCTGCCCCAGCTCATGGTTACGTACAATCTTGGGAACATTTGCAGTGATGGCATGGAGGAGGGTTTGGGCATGGAAGGCTGTGCAGCATGAGTCGTTACCATCCTCCTCTACTCTCGCTGCCAGTAGAGGGCCCTCATCTGGCCCCGTCACTTTCTCTTCCCTGGGACTCTGCGTGTGACACCAACACATTAAGGGAGGACAGGTTTACTTTGGCTCTTGTGCTTTAGCTGTTTTTAGTCCATAGCTACTTGGCTCCATGGCAGAAACCGCATGGGCAGGGGTCTGTCAGCAAAACTGCTCCCTTCATGCTGCCCCAGAGGAAGAATGTGGAGAAAGTAGCCAGGGAGAGAGAAAAGCCCTTCCAGGTCACACAGTGACCCACCTCTTAGGGCTGGACCCCACCTTGCATCAGTAATGCAGCTATAGTAACGAGGTAGTCCACTCACCTTCCAAAACCGCCTCAGAGCACACAAAGCTCTGGGGGACATCTAGATGTAAAGCCTGACGCCACCCTTCCTCCCTGCTGTGTCCACTGGTGTCTGCGTTTGTGGTATGCCTCTGGCTCGGACTCTAGTGGTCCTGTCACATCCCAGATGCCCCTTCCTGGTCATCTTGCCCTTCTCTGTGGCTCTTTGAGGCCTTAAGTCTTATGATGCTCCTTGGGCTTTTTAACATTCAGTGTGAATCAGAGAAGTCCAGGCCCAGTTACCTGCCATTTCTCCTTGGCTGCTACCATGACTTCTCATCATGGAAGACTGTGAAGACTTTTGCACAGATCAGTGGATGGTTTTCTCCACTCTCAGAGCCCTCTGCAGACAACTCTCTGCAGGTCCTTGGATCTCCTTTTTTTGTGTGTGTGGTACCAGAGATTGAACTCAGGACCTTGCGCTTGTCAGGCAAGCACTTATTCCACTGAGCCATCTCCCCGGCCCCAGGATGACCAACAGTGATTGATACTCTAAACAGACATCAGTCATCTTGGGTGGGGGACCAAAACCTCCATAGCCCACCCCTTCCAGGAAAATCCTTGACTGTCCCAAGTGTCCTTGCTACATGTGACTGGCTTCCCCTTTTGGTCCCCTTTTAACTAGTATCTAAGTGACTATACTCTTAGTGGTTGACCATAGTTCTGTGCTACCTAATACCCACCTTGTGACTTCCCTGGATCAATATTACTAACTGTACATGTAATCTTATCCATTATACTTTTATCCCATCTTCCCTCATAGTTTTACTCTGTGTAACTCCCTCGAGAAGCAGCTTCTCCAGGCCGCCCATTTGGGATCTCCTTCTGTCCCTCTTAGAAGCTTTCTTTCAATAAATTCTTCCGACTCTTACCTCCATTATTCCTAGAATTCATTCCTGCATTTTAGAGAACACAAACAGTATACCAGACATCTAGCAGGCTTGGAGTTACATTTTCCTTATATTATTTGATTACTTGGAGGTGTAATATCAACCCTGTAGCATATGCCCTATATCACTATGGGCTGGAACACACTGTCTGACCCATGAGTGATTGTCTGAGACAGAGACTATGAACTGAACTCAACTCTGAAGTCCCATTTTAGACCATACTGCTCCTTCTAGGAATCCTGTGACTGAGAGCAGTGATGACCACATTTATAATGGGAAATTATCTCTGGGGATGTAGCCTAGAAGCCAGATTTGGCCCTGTAGACTGCTTGAATTCTGGGCCTTTAGTTACCCTGGAGGTATGCTGGGAACACTTGCAAATCAGAAAAGTTCCTGAGGAGTGGGGTCAAGAAGCAATATCTGGGCTGGGGCTAGAGCTGCCTCAGAGCTCTTTGACACTGGCTTTTACTTCCTTCCTGGATAGAACAAGAGGTTTTGGTTACATGGTGTATGTGGTGATTGAAATAAGGGGTGAAGTGAGGAACAGCTCCAGAACCAAGGGCATTCTGCTCTTGCACCTTCCATATCCATATTGACCAAGGGGACTCGGGGACACTCCTTTCTTGCTGGGGCTAGTGATTGTGGATACCTGAGGGAGAGGAGTCACTCCACACCTCTGTGTTCCCCATAGCCCTGCTACCATCTTGGTCCTTTTGAGTGGAGGGCTCAAGGGAGCACAGGATGAGTCCAGAAAGCATGGAGCCAAACCAGTCACTTCTGACAACTGCTGGCTCCTTGCCCCTGCTTAATCACTGAACCCCTACTTATAGGGTTTAACAGTCACCTGGGGGCCAGTGAGATAGCTCAAGGGTCTAAAGCTCCTGCTTATGCTAGTTTAGGCAAAAGCACACACACACAGAGAGAGAGAGAGAGAGAGAGAGAGAGAGAGAGAGAGAGAGAGAGAGAGAGAACAGAGAGAGAACAGAGAGAGAACAGAGAGAGAGAGAACAGTCACCTGGAGAACTGTTTTTACAACACAGATTTTAAAATAAGACAAAATCCCCCCCCCATTAGATTCATTAATTGTGGACTTGAGAATCTGCCTTTTCCTTGACATATGGCTCATGAATTTTTTTTCTTCTCTTATTTTCTTTTCCTTTTTTTGGTACTGGGGATCAAACTCATGACCTTGCATTTGCCAGACAAGCACTTATGCTGCTGAGCTATCTCCCTGGCCCATGTATTGTTTTCTTATTTATTTTTACAAACCTTTGAGAGGGCTTTTTGTCCCTGTGATACTAAGGATTGAACGAGGGCATTCTACCATGGAGCTACATCCTCTGACCTTTTTATTTTGAGACAGGATCTAGCTGTGTTTCCTAGGTGGTTCAAATTTGTGATCTATCTTACCTCCTGAGTAGCTAGGATTACAGGTGCATTCCACTTCACCAGATTGAGGATTAATTTGTAACAGACTGCAGCAAAAGAACTGCTCTACTCAGATCTATCCCTCCTGCCCTCCCTTCCTCCTCCTCTTTTAAGCCAGGGCCTCCTCCACCTCCCACCTCAGCCTCCTGAGTGCTGGCATTACAGATGCGCACCACCACATCCAGCTTCCAATGTCCAATACCAAGCCACCTAGTTTCCTTCCCGAGGCAACCAGTTTCTTTTATAATCTGTACCTTAATGGGCACATACAAGTTAAAGGAAAATAACCATTTTGGGGAGCTGTGCTGGGTATTGAACCCAGGGCTCTGTGCATTTAAGCATGTTGTCCTCTACCACTGAGATCCATCCCCATCCCCCAAATCTCCATTTTTAAAAGGAGCACCCCTTAGAGATTCTCAGACAGTTGGAAAAATATGTATCTACTTTGTGTCAGAGTCTGTGCTGTGTCCTCAGGTAGTTGCATGACCCAGCCCTGCTCAGTTCTGCTTAAGATGCCTACAGTCATAAAGCCACCACCCTGGACGTCACAGGCTGAGGAGCGAGACCCCAGGGCCGTGGGCTCTGCCTGGGAAGCCTGACGCCGGCAGGGTGGGGTGGGGTGGAGGCGGGGCTGTGCACAGAGGAAAAGTGGAGCTGTGGGCCTTTCATCTCTGTCATCAGCGGTGGCACCTGGCAGACACTGGACACCACGGCTTGCAGACAAAGACTTGGTAACCCAAGGAGCCGCTTGGCTTGCTTGCACAGTCCCAGCCCAGAGGAGCTGCAGATCTCCGGTTTCTTCAGGGGGCCCTGTGTGGGAGCGTCTTTTGTCCTCCTGGTGTCAGGAAGACTGTCACGTGCCTGTTTGCTGAGCGCCCCAGGTGCCTGGCCTCCTAGGGAGGGGAGGGGACAGTTCCTCAGGCAGAGCAGGGCACAATCCCTGACCAAGGTGAGGCTAGGCAGGGACTTTCAGACTCCGCCCTGTCCTCAAGAGCCACTCCATCCTGTCGACCTTATCGCAGCCTCCGGGGAGCAGGCCGTACAACAGGGCTCTGTCCAGGCCGGGCCTGGCAGCGAGGTTCCCAGCCGGACGCCCAGCACGGGGCGGGTGTGGGGTGCCTAGCCCTCCAGGGGCTCGGTGAGCGCGCAGTGAAGGGGTGGCTGCTGGACGGCTGTTTTCTCTAGGCCTGGGGTTTCTCAACCATTGCTGTTTGGGCTCGCTCTGGAAGCCTCATAGAGGTCAAGGGTCGGGGAAAGTGTTAGGAATCGCAAAAGTCAAATCCTGGCTCTCTATTAAGCGCTTCGGGACTTGTCCCTCGTTGGTGAACGAGGGAAAATGGTAATATTTCACCCCGGCGAGTTATTGTGGAGAGTGAGGGCAACACACACACGCACACGCACACAGAGCCCAGCCCCGGCGAGTTATTGTGGAGAGGGAAGGCAACACACACACACACACACACACACACACACATACCGCACGCCCCACACCCCTTTTTGTTTGTTGTTTCCAGGCCTCTGGGGGAGGGACGGTCCTTCACTGAGCTTAAGACAGCCCCTGCCTGAAAGACCCTTCCGAGCCGCGGAGGTATCCCAGTCGGTCCTGGGCGCGGGTTTGGGAGGAGGCGCCACGCTTTGGAGGGTGAGGGTGAGGTAAAAGCCCCTCTGCCCGGCCCGGCGCCAGTCGCGCCGCCCCCAGGCCGGCGCCCCAGACCCACCCCGCGGAGCTGCACTGCCATCAGGCGATCTCGGCGGCCAGCCCCGCCGGCTGTGTGACGCGTCCGCTCCCAGGGTCCTCGGCGCCCGCGCCCGCTCCTATAAAGGCCGACGCCGCGCGGTGCCGCTCCAGTGGCTTCGTCCGCCGCCGCCTTTCTTCGACTGGTGGGACTCAGTTCGTGCTCTCGTCGCCTCGCGTCCGCCGTCTTTTAGAGACCAAACGCCGTGAGTAGCTGCCCGCGA